GCGTGCTGCGACCCAGAGCTGCATTGCATGCAGAGTCCCGAGAGTCCATAGTCCATAGAGCAAAGTCCCAGGCCCAGTTGGAATATCAGTCGCAGTCCAATTCAGTCCCGTTCCGTTCCGTCCCGTCCAGAAAAAGCGGGGCCAAGTCAGCGCTAAGGCGAATGCATAAATTAGCGTGCGGCATTTGCATAGTTTATTAAAATTTGGCATTCGCCATTTGGCCAACAAACAGCCGTTTCATTCTTCTTTCTGGCCATTTTCATTAATTTTTCGCCCAAATTTTTGTCAAGTGTGTGCGTGTGTGTGTGTGCGACTTTATGATGTCGGAGTGAAAGAAGCGTAGCCCCGAGCGGCTACCCCGATATAAAATGTCTTTGCTTAGGCAAGAGCCAAACCATTTAATAGACGCTCTCGCCCAGAGACAGATCAGATCAGATCAGAGTTCGACATCGGCCACTACCTCCATTTGATATGGCAATCAAACTGTTTACCCTCTTGGCTATTGGCCTGGCCCTGGCCGCCGTCACGGTCGATGGTGAGTCGCTGGCGCCCGCCGCTCCGCTCCGTCCCGCCCCGTACTGTAGCGTGTGTGTGTCCATCTCTTTCTAGCTCGTCACGTGGCCGGACACCGTCGTCACCAGCAGCAGCAGCAGCGCGGCATCGTTGCCAAGCCCCACCATGGCGCCCAGACGCGCGTCTTCCCTGGCGCCGTGGCCATCAAGAAGCTGGTGCTGCTCAAGTTCAAGAAGATCGTGCCCATCTCGCTGATCCTGCTCAAGTCGAGCAACGACAACGAGGCCGAGCTGGTGCCCGTCTACCCGACCGATCAGATACCCGAGAACGTGCAGTTCATTCCCACGCCCAACGGCATCTCCGGCCACAAGGACGTCCAGGCCATTGCCATACCCAGCGAGCTGCACGAACAGCTCCAGATCAACGGCCTCTCCAACGTGGAGAACATCGAGGCTCTGCTCCAGGGCAGCTCCATCATCGGCGACAGCATCCAGGGCGAGGACGGTGCCAGTCCCGTGGGCAACACCATTGCCGTCGCCCAGCCCGAGGACGCGCCCCTGGTGCAGAACGACAACGACGACAGCCAGCTGCTAGAGGGCGCCACCGAGCCAGCCGCTGGACCGGCCAGCGCCTCCACCGTCGCCGCCAGCACCCGCCGCCTCTCCAGCAACGACCTGCTGCGCTCCGGCATCCGCAACTCCGCCCAGCTGCAGAAGACCAGCGTCGAGGAGATTCCCCTGCTGCTCTACTCGGCCACCGATGACGGTGCACCCGGCCAAGAGGTCTTCGGCGAGCGGCGCTTCGTGGCCGCCACCCCGGCACGCCGTCGCCACCACCAGTTCTACCACTAAGACGCTCGGCTCGATGCCGCCTATTTATTACCGCCACCACTCCGGCCCCAGCCTAGCCGAGCCTAGCCCGGCCTAGCCTATGCCGGGGCCCATCCACTATCTGTAGCTTTTCTTCTACCCGGCTGTCACAGCACGGCATGTGGTATTTTTTTTATTTTTTTTTTTTATTTTGCTTGTGCTATTTGCTTAGACTGAACTGAATATAAATTAACATTATGAGAAATGACAAAGGCGCGCGATGTGTTGGGCTCTCTGCTTCCGGGGCTAGTGTAGTGTAGGGGGGTAGTGGGGCCAGCCTTGTTTTTCCTGCGCTTATCACAATCTGAAGGCGACGACGATGACGGCGAGGACGACGACGATGGCGCAGTGCCTGCAGTTATCAGCTTTGTTGTGCCGTTGACGTGACGTGTCCTGTGCCTCTACCTCTGCCCCTACCTCTGCCTCTACCTCTGACTCTACCTCTACTTTTGCCAGAGCCCATGTCCTGTCGTGTGTGCGGCTGGCAGCGCCAGACAGCCAGGCAGCGGCTCTGTCAGAGAGACCTGTGCCGGTGCCTGGGCCTGGGCCTGTGACCAGAGCCTGTTATAAATTTCTCGTGTCCTCACGTGCACAAAGCCGACAAACAAAAACACAAACAAAAGCCAAAGTCAACGGCACAAAAAGGCACAACAAAGGACCGAATGCATATCGCAAAAATGGACAACAACAAAAGACAGCCAGAAGATAGCGGAGCTACGGAGCAAACAGGCCGAACAGCAAATACGCTTAACGTTTCACATGAAATAAAAGCTAAAGTCATTACTGCTTAGCCGTATTGAAATAAAAGCTAAGCTCGCTACTTTTTAGCCGTTTACCGGCTGTCATTTGCTATAAGAATTATTGAATCGGTAAATCTTTTATTTTGTATTGCTTAAGCCTACGTTTGCTATCAGCTTTTATTTTCATCGACATAAACTTTTTAGCCGTTTTTCGGCTAAAATTTTTACGGGCGTATTTTTTAATTTTTATTTATTTATTTTATTTATTTTTTTTTTCAAATGATTGAACAAATTTACTTTAATATAATTTCTATTTTTTAACTAAAGTTTTTTCGTTTGCAGCAAATTCCAGACAAAGAAAAATTATTTTTAGCCGTTTTTCGGCTAAAATTTGTACATGCATATTCATTTTATTATTATTATTTTTTTTTTTTTTTTATCATTGAACAAGTTTACTTCAGTAGGTATAATATAATTTCAATTTCTTAACTAAAATTTTTTTTGTTTGCAGCAAATTTCAGACAAAAAATATTTATTTGTAGCCGTTTTCCGGCTAATAATTTTGTTATTAAATTTATATACTGAACTTTTTCTGTCTACTATGAGTTTATATCTTTACCAACTCACATTTTATGTTTTTTTTAGCTATTTTACGGCTATATATTTCTGATAGTCGCATATAGGACAAAAAATTAAACTTTTTCTTTTTTATTTTTAAGCCCAAGTTTGCTATCTACTGCCAGCTTCTTATCGACATCTTGTGCAACTCACCCAAACTTCCTTAACTTCCTCATAATGGGGCAAATTGACTTCCCACTCCATTTCGCATTAGCACACCCCCGAAGAGTGTAATTATTTTCCGATTTTCTTTTCCATTAAAGCCACAGAATGTTTTTGCTTTATTTACATAAACCTTAAAAATATGTACATAAATACTAAAAAAAAAATCAAAAAAAAAAAAAAAGAGACAGTAATATGACGTGTGCACAGAAGTCGAGTCAAGAAAATAACATCTGGAAACTCCGTAGTTTGCGGCCAGTTGAAGCTGCTCGAATTACATCGGATAGTGTATAGGCAAACGAATTTCTAAGGGAGCAAAGGCTCATCAGCCCCGAGTTTCGGGGCAAAAGTAACTTTGTGTTCTGTGGCACGGTGCACGTAGCGGTTGCAGTTGCAGTTTCCAGTTTCCAGTTACGGTTGCAGCTGTAGCAGGAACCGGCCCATATGTCTGCCCGCCGGACTGACAGCCTAAAAGCCAAAAGCTGACACAAAGCACTTTTCAAGATTGTAAAGCAAACTAAACGGAACAAAGGCAAGCCAGATAGAAAGAGAGAGAGAGAGAGAGAGAGAGGGATACACACAGAGAGAGAGAGAGAGAGAGAGAGAGAGAGAGGCAGCGAGTCTGGAACAATAAGATGCTGAACTATAATCTATGGGGCTCATTAGACTAGGCGCTCACTGGGGCGGGCTACAGCTCTAGCCAAGTCAACGGCCGTAGTAGGGGGGCGGCACGTATATGGTCACGCGCCGGTTGTCGTTCCTGTAGTTGAAGCGGCCGCAGGGCGGCGGGCCGTAGTAGGTGTACGTGCAGATGGTGCAACAGTTGAGGGGCGTGGTGATGACCATAACCGGAGTGTGCCGGCTGGGCAGCGGATAGGCCAGTGGGTAGCGCGGCGGCCCGGGCAGCGGAACGCCCGGCGGCAGTGGGCGAGGCACGGGTACGGGCACGGGCACCGGCATCGGCGGCGGGGGCAGCGGAGCAACGGGCGGCAGCCCAGGCGCCAAGCAGCACGGACCAGGCGGCGCCGGTGGAGACGGTGCTACCACGTACGCCTCGCAGCAGCGATTCTGCTGGGAGGCCTCCAGGGTGCAGGGCGAGACGCAGTTGTTGAACAAGCTATTGAACCAGTCCGTGATCACGTTCAGCGTGCGACCCTGCCGCTGGCTGGTATCGTATGGCCCAAAGGTCTCGATCGAGGTGTTGAGCACCGGCTGCAGGTCCTCCAGCCGTGACGAGCCATTTACGTACAGATACTCGATGTTGTCCGCGACGGCGCTGCTGTTCCTTGGCCGGGGGCGCCAGCGCTGCAGCGGCACCTTCTGCTGAGCGCGACTGCGCGCTGAAATCGAGAAGCGATCGAGACCGGCTTTAATAATGCCGCCCCAAAGTATGCAAAGGTGCGAACGCTTACGGAGAGGTGCATGTGCGCAGAGCCACAGACAAACATTGAGTGTAAAACCGGGGTGAACGAGGGAACCTAAAGCCACTAGGCAACCAAGTCTATGTGTCTATATATATCCAGTCTATCCAGGCTCATTGAGGCCAGGTTTACATATAAAATTATCTATTTATATTCATTCTCATTTTCATTCATTCGTGAATTTAAATAATTAGAGATGGTATTTGCATCTACAAAACCGTATGTACATAGCAATCGATAGTCGATATAAGAGAACTGGTGCTATCAATATGATTAATCGATCGATATACGTGGGTAAAGAAGTGGTAAAGACTTTTAACTAAATATAAATATAATAAGGGATATTCGTACTGACAGAAGGACTGATGAATACATATATAAATGGATGGATAAACGGAAGGACTGGTAGAGGAATGAGGATTACTTTGGACAGCTTCAGTCTTCAGTTCCCGGTAAAGTGAACTGAACCAGGTGCATCTGCTTTGTGCTCTGAGGCAATTCCTTGAGCTCCGCCGGCACTACCGGCCTTTGCCTGCTTTCAGTGGTGCGTATGTGGTGCATTGATACAGCTTAAATTAACAAATGCATTTTATTCGAGTGCTTAAAGTGATTCGTTGGCAAACAAAAAAAAAAGAGAAGTGGCCATGCTTTAAGGTCTAGGTGGTGCGGGTGCTGCGGGTGCTGCTGTGCGTATGGACTCAAACGGTACTAACGGCCGAACGCAAAGGGTCGATTGAAGCCGCCAAAGACATTGCTGTTGGCATTGGCGCCGCCGCCGGGGCCGCCACCCCAATTGAATCCGCCGCCATTGGCATTGGCGTCCGCTCCGGCTCCTGCTCCATTGCGATTGCCGCCGGCGCTGGCATTGGCGTTCGCATTGGCCGACTGCCCGTTCTGGCTGGTGGCGCTGGCGCTACTCGACGCCGAGTTCGTCACGGAGCCGTTGGGGTTGCGCTGCGAGCTGATGTTCGCATTGGTGTTGGCCGCGGCGTTGCCCTGGTTGTTGTTGCCCTGGAAGATGGACTGGCTGTTGGCGCCCGATGTGATCGTCTCCTGGTTGCCGTTGCGCACAATCTGCGTGTCCGTGTTGGCCGTGTTGCTGGAGCTGCCCCGCTGATTGTTGTTGGTGGCGGTGGAGCCGCTGTTCGAGCCAATCGTCTCGCCGTTGCCCGTCCGCGTGTGCTGCGTATTCGCATTCGAGCTGGTCGCCTGCTGCTCGCCGGGCCGGAAGTTCAGCGCCTGGCTCTGGGCGCCGTTCGAGTTGTGGCCGTTGCTCGACTGATGGTTGGTGTTCGCCGAGCTCACCTGCCCGCTGCTGCCGTCCTCGGCCAGGTTGGAGCCGATGCTGCTGCTGCCCGCATCCTGCGAGCCGTCCGCCTTCTGGTTGGCAAAGTTGTTGCTGCCCGCCTGCTGATTGAACCCGGGGCCGCCCTTGGCGCCGGCACTGCCCGACGACTGCACGGGGCCGCGCTTGTTGCCGCCCTCTGGGAAGCCTGGCTGTCCGAAGCCGCCACCAAAGCCGCCGCCACCGAAGCCGCCGCCGCCGAAGCTCGGTGGTCCGCCGAAGCCGCCGCCGAAGCTCGGGGGTCCGCCGAAGCCGCCGCCGAAGCCGCCGCCCGGACGTCCGAACTGGCGACGTGGACGCTCCGCCTCGAAGCCGCCGAAGCCGCCGAAGCCACCACCAAAGCCGTTATTCGGCTGCGGATAGCCGAAGGGCACGTACTGGGCGTGACGCTTGGGCCGCAGGAAACGGCGATTGGCCACCGGCTGCGGGCGGAACGCCGCCTGCTGCGGACGGAATGCCAGCTGCTGCGGACGGTATGCCACCTGGGGCGTGCGACGTTGCCGGAATCCGTTGCCGAAGGGAATGCCACGCGAGGCGGCCGTCTCACCGAAGCCGCCCGCATTGGCCGAGGTCTGGCCGAAGCGCGTGCGCCCGAAGGCGTTCGAGTTGCTGAACGTCTCCTTGACATTGAGGCCGCCGATCTGCTGGTTGTTGGTGAAGCTGTTGCTGTTGGAGCCGACGCGAGCGCCACGGCCCTGGGCGTTCACCTGCGCCTGGCTGAGCGTGTTGCTGTCCTCCACCTGCCTGTCCAGATCGAGGCTGAGCAGGCCCAGGCCCAGGCGCACATCGCCGTTGGCGTCGCGCTGCAGTCCGAAGCCCTGCCGGATGTTGTCCGGCGAGAGGGAGGCGCCCAGGCCGACGTCCCCGATGCGGAACTGATTGGCCACGCCCCCGCCGATCACCGCGCCGTTCGCATTGGTGCGTGTGCGCGTGAACGTGTTGCCCAGCTGCAGTCCGCCCAGGTCCAGGCCGCGGGTCAGCGCCTGGCTGTTGGCGACCACGCGCTGTCCGTTCTGGCGCGTCACTGCGCGCGAGTTGGACACGCCGCGCGTGTACTCCAGATCGTTGCCAAGGTCCACCTGGCGCTCGTAGGCGTTCGTGTTGGCCCTGGACACGGAGCCCAGCTGGCCGCGACCGCCTCCTCCAAAGAAGCCAGGTTGCCCACCAAAGACGGGTTGACCGAACGGTGCAAACTGCGCCTCAGCTAGAGAGAGAGAGAGAGAGAGAGAGAAAGAGAGAGAGAGGGTGAGAGTGAGTGAGAGGGAATGAAAGTTGATGCGACCAGAAGGTAAATGCAAAAGTTTTTGGCCCATCTGGCGAAACTTTGTTATTTGTTGTGCGATATTTAAGATAAACATATCACAAGATTCATGCATTTATAATCCCCCCTAAAACACACAGAGAGCGAGAGAGAGAGAGAGAGAGAGAGAGAGAGGGAGGGAGAGTGACAGCAACAACAATAGCAAAAGCAACTGGCTCAAAGAACTCCTCAAACTTGTTCCACACGCCTCGTTCTCGTCTTTGTTTTTTTCCATATTTGATTTTATTATTTTTTTTTTTTCGACTGATTCTAATTTGAATATCATTTAAATGTGCGCGGTATTTTTCCCATTATTATTATTATTTTCAAATTCTGTTTGCGGTTGCTTTGCCTCTTCACTTTTTGTTTTTTGTTTTTTGTTTTTTGAGCTTCTTTCAAGTTTTTGGCAAAGTTTTTTATGCTAACTATCTGGCGCGAAAGTCAAAGAAGTATAAGTATGTATTAAGTGTATATACTCCCAGGGAAAGTATAATTAATGAAACATGCAATTATCATATAGCATACAATATGAATATAAGTGCAAATATGAGTATATTAAAATACTGCCACAAGTTCTTATGACAGTGGAATATTTAAAGATTAAAATAAAAATAAACAAATTTAGAAAATTAACATCGAAAATTTGTCAAATACTTGATAATCATTTTTGATTTTTTTTTTTTTTGGACTAAATAAATATAAATAAAATAAATTCTTGTCAAATGACAGTTTTCTAGTATATTATATTATTATTTATTATAATATTAATTGTTAAATTTCCATATGAAACCAAATTTCCATACATGAAATTCGCCTATTCCTACTTTAGGAAGAGTGAAGTGGATTTGGGGGTGGGAGTTGGATTATGAAAATATATTTCAATTATATGAAACTAACTTGAATCTTTATTAAAAATTTGGAGACTCTAGCTCTATAAAAGGTAGGAAAGATGATCGATAAATAATTGTTATCGATAGAAAATATATCGGAAATGATTTTCTATTTGTGCAAATAACTCGATATGAACTCACAAAGAAATCTCTCTCTCAAATTTCTAGCTTCTGAGATCAGACAGGTTCACACAGACGGACAGAAGGACGGACGGACAGGTAGATGGACGATGAATGCTATATCGAGTATGCTCTTCGCCTCTGCCACGCCTTCTGCTGCCCCTTTCATAAATTAGCACATTATTATTTTAGCCTGATTTCCTAATTTTTTATGGATTCTGGGTATAGAAAGTATTGCATCTGTTGCTATTTCAAAAAAAAAGGGAACCTCTATTCACAGCTGATTTGGCTCAGATAAAACTCTAGTATATCATATAGAAATGAGTAATATATATAATTATTTTTCCCAATGTCAATTTTTTATAATTTCGTTTCACAGCTCAAGGTCAACTACTCCATAATTCGAGCACACTTTTAACAAAAATAATTTGGCATTTTCTTTCACTTATTTAAAAAAAAAAAAAAATAGGAATAATAATGTCATGCACTTTCACATTAAAAAAAAAATTAAATAAATAAATAAATAAAAATAAAAAATAAAAAATATATATAAATTATTTGATCACTGTTTCAATTGAAGCACTTTAGCTTTCGCACTTGTTGCACTGTTCTCTGAGCAACAAAAAAAAAAGTATTTATATAAAAAAAAAATTATTGAGAAAAAAAATTCGATTATATAAAGTGTTATATAATGTTATTCGATATTTTAACGGCCTGTTGTTGTTGACACATAATTTGGAAACGCGTTTAATCGGCGAGCGTAAGTAAATGTTTGACTGGGAGTTGGAGAGGGAGAGGGAGAGGGGTAGATTGAGTGAGCGAGCGAGCAAGAGCGTGTCAGTTGTACTGTGTGTGTGTGTGTGTGTGTGTGTGGCTGCCCCATTATCCCTTTTTGCGTATTCCCTGCGCTTTTGCCGTAGCCGTGGCCGTGGCTGTTGTCCTTTTGCCGTGCCTGTCAATATGCCGTGCACGTTGCCGCAAAATCCGGCGATAATTTCGCAATTATTGCTGTAATATCAAAGCCTAAAAGTACGCGGCGTGCGTGTGTGTGTGTGTGTAGGTGTATTGGTGTCATTATCCTGTCTGCCCGCTGCTCGTTTCGCTATTGTTGTTATTGTTATGGCTGCTGCTGCTGCTGCTGTTGCTGCTGTTGCTGTTGCTGCTGCTGCTGCTGCTGCTGTTGCTGCTGCTGCTGTTGCTATTGTTGGTAGTGCTGCTGTGCCAAGGCACAAAAATATTTACCTTGCGGTTGACAAACTGCCAGCCAACACACAATTAATCCAGCAAATGCGTGCCGCATCCTCATCCTATCTGCGGCCCTCAACGTCTATCTCGGTTGTAGTATCTGCGTATCTGATATCCGCCCGATGCCCGCGACTCTCAGCAGCTGTGTGCTACCTAATTTACCGTTGCGAAAACAGCGCACGCAATGAGCGCGTTTTTGGCCGCTGGCGACTTTTATCGTGCGCGGTTATTGTCGTGTCTTTTCGACGTGTTCTTTTTTTCCGATGTTCGTTGTTTTTTTTTGCTGCTGCTGCTGCTGCTGCTGTTGCGCGTGTGTTTTGCGTTAAGCGTTCGCTGGCGTTCTAAGCCTCTCGCTGGTGTTGTAATCAGGCTTTAAACCAAACAATAATTAACGCGTTTTTATTGATTAGCTGCCGACTGAGGCGTCGCGCCCGACGTCAACGTCGGCAGCAAGCTTATGTTGATTATTAAACTACATACATGCATACATGTGTATGTGCATGTGTGTGTGCATGTATGTATATTCACCATTTTTTGTTTGTTATCTTGAAAAGAAATTGAATTTCGTACAGGTTTTGGGGGGGCTAGACTAACCTGGCTTTTGTGATTCTGGCGAGCTCGCAATTCTCGTTTAACTTGTTTCCTAATGCTTGAACAGCAGCAACAACAACAACAACAACAATAACATTTCTATAGCATTTGCTTTGTGGATGAGTTCATAAAAAACTACACAAAAAAAAATCAAGCGAAATTATTCTTTTTTTATAATTATTTTATCGCTTCCAGATGTGAAGTTGATTTTCGTAGGGGATTTTTGGGCATTGCTATTATTGTATCAAAGAATCGATGCGATTGAGTTTCTTTAATATACATATATATATAGAGAGAAAGTCTTCTTTGTCTGAGTACAGTAAAGCTATATGACATTTGAAATACGAAAAGTTCCCAAAGAAAGAAGATCAATTGAAAAATGGGTCAAAATGTGATTAGTTTTTTGAATATGTGGTTAAAGAGTGGGAAAGGGAGGGATGAAGTGAAAGAGAGAGAGAGAGAGAGAGAGAGTGACAGAAAGAGAAAGAGAAAGATGGAGTGAGAGAAAGAGAGAGAGAGAGTGATATATAGAGAGAGGGCGAAATAGATAGAAGGACAGAGAGAGAGAGAGAGAGAGAGAGAGAGACAATGGCATACACAGAGAGAGAGAAAGAGAGAGAGGGATACAGATTTTATGAGAGAGAGAGAGTGAGGAAGATTCATCCAGTAAAGTTCTTCTAAAGCCCGAATTCATTTATTTCTTAGGAAGAGTAAACGTACAGTGAAGCTCACGCATAACAAACGATATCTATACAAAAAACATATTTTATCAGGGCACGATTGATTACGGTAAAGCTAACCTACACCAAATGCTTGCTATTTATATATTTATATTTATATAAAAATGAAATTTTAATAATAGATAAACCCTAAGATCTTGTAAAACAACTAATCTTTATAAGAATAGATTCTCGATAAAAAAGAAAGACCTACAGTACAGCTCTGATATCACAGACGTTTGCTATAAAATAATCAATAATCAGGGAATAAAAGCCCTCATAAAGTTTTCCTATAACAAGTCTACAACATCATATCATATCATATCATAAAGCTTCCAGCATTTTCAATTCAATTCGAATGCCCTCAATGCCACTATAGCCAGCTATCACTGTACTCAGCATGAGATTAATGTGTGTGACCATTTGGTCATTTCTAGAGCTGAGGCAAACTTGAAAAAGCTGATAGACGTAATTGAATACCCTCGGCATACGCTCAGAGTAGTTGAAGTGTGAACAGCTGAGAGTGAAACAAGTCGAATGCATTGTCTCTAGGCCCTGAGTACTCGGATCAGCCAGACTCGGAAAGAGAAGCTGAGCCGAGCCGTTTAGCTGGAATTCAAGTTCGACATCTCTGGGGCGGCTACGTAGCTACGCATCTGTTTGTTGACCCGCCGCGTTGCCATAAAACTAAGCAGACTCATCTAGCAGGTAGTGGGAAGTAGTCGTATGGCGTTGGCTTTGACTTTGGCTTCGCTTCAGGGCCAAGCGGGGCTTACGAGTTTCCCATTAGCGTCAACGTACGCGCTGTAGGTCAGTCGAGGCGTTAGCCGCTCCGGCCGGACACATGATATTTATTATTATTCGCATATTCATTATCCGAATTAGTCATTAAATTGTCTTTAACTCGTCTGTTGACAAATCTCTTTAGCGCTCGGCCAACTCGTCCCAGAACAGACCCCAGACTCTGTCTTCGACTCGAATAGCAGCGACTCTGTTCAGGAAGACAAATATTTAATGTTTCTTTTGCTTTCTTAACTTATTTGATTACCTAGATTTAGACAGATAAAAGCTGCCATTGAGTATAGATGGAATTGAGTTTTCTTTATGATATCTTACATATCTATATCTAACTAAATCTATATGATAGTAAAACCTATTTGATAAGCTACCCAGAGTATGGGAGTGGAAACATTGTTATATAAGGCACATAATCGATAACAGTGAAGCCGAAATGGATATCGATCAATCTTGATATACTTGTGCTATACTGGGACATCGATTTTAGAATCTATGAGAGCTAGGCACCTTTTGTAGATCGCCGTATAGCGCGTGCAGATCGATCGAGGGTATCTCGAGGTCCAGCAGTCTCGACTAGAGCACGCTTACTTGATCTAGTATGGGCTATTGCTCTTCGGTAATCGATAATCAGCTGAGTATAGGTTACGGCAGCTTAGTCGTGGCCCAATCGTCTCCATAATTGTCAAGAGCTCAACATTTTTGGTAATACAGGGTTCCAGTAAATTTATTGAGCTGCTTTAGCAGGAAATATCTATGCGAAAAGGCTAAGATGAAAGACTAAGTTCTAGTCTAAAACATGCTTAATTCTATTAATTAAAAAAATATTTTTAAATATTTTGCCTCTTGATATTTTGATATATGTATATAGATATGTTTTTGTTTGGCATAATTTCAGGCCTAATCAAATGAGCTAAAACTAAATTAACATAATTTGTTCTGTTCTCGAACAAATTAATTAAAATTCTATAAAAATGTAGAATTTATTTTTGTTTTTCATAACCGATTCGATTATTCCGTGTATAACAATAGAAATCGATGATTGTTTTGTTTTCTTGAGAATCTTAAAAGCAGCAAACAAATCTTGATAAACAAATATAATTATATACACCCATATATATATATGTATATATATATATATCTCATTATTAGACAAGCTCTTGGAAAACTTGAAATATCATCTTCAGAGCAATCAAAACTAATATGAAATATAATATATATATAAAATATAAGCAGAAAAAGAAGAGCTAATTAGTTGACGTCATAGAATGGGCTCATCAGCGAACGGGTTTTTTTTTAGCTGTTATCTAAAATTGTGTTTTATCAATTTGATTTGAGTTAGTTTGGTACAATTTTGAGGACTTTTGAGCTGGCAGCTAGAGAACTACACTGAGCGAACAACAACAACAACAACAGCGATTGGGTCAAAGCTGGCAAAACTATCGCCAGGAGGAGAGACCAAGAGAGAGAGAGAGAGAGAGAGAGATGCAGTATTTGAGAGAGTGAGCGGAGAGAGCGCAGTTTAGTTTTTTTTTTGTTAGCCATGGCTTAGCTCTGCTTCGATACGCGTATAAAAAATTGTTTTTTATTGTTATTTGATTTCTAGCGTTTATCGGTCTGGTGGCATCTTTACGCTGACGAGCGCTTCGAGAACGCCCCAGACCCCAAACCGCCCCTTCGCTTCCCCCCGCAACAACTTCTATGCTAAGCCCTGCCACGCCTGAATCGCTGCTGCTACTGCTGCTGCTGCGCTGCTGCTGCGCCGCCGCTGCTGCTGCTGCCTTGAACGCGTGAAATGGAGTAGAAAAATTGTTTTTCTATCAAAGGCGAAAAATCGCAGCGGCGTGCAATCCCCCCACACCCCCCCCCCCCCCCTCCTCCCCTCCCCTCCATCGCCCTTCGCCCACCGACAACCAACAACCCTCACCCCTGGCCATTAGCTGGCAGCAACAATTTTGTTGTTTATGCTGCCATCGCGTTCGGTTCTCTATCAATTTAATGCCCGCAACGTCGCTGGACACGCGGCTTTAACTTTGTTCGAACTTTGTTTTAGATTTTGTTATTGTTGTTGTTGCTCTGTTTTTATTGTTTTCTTCTTTTTTTATGCATGTATTTTTTGGCTTGGAGCTGGGGCGGGTGTGTGTGGGGGTGGGGGGTGGTGGTATGGGGGTGTGGGGCTTTTTGGTTTTCTGGTTCTGTTACGGTTTCAGTTTCGGCTTTTTGCTGTCCGCTCTTGTCTGGCGGCATTAGCGCGGCTCAGACTCTGATTTGCGCTGCTAATTGAAGTTCTATTCGCCTCGATGGGGGCGCAGAGTGCGGCGACAGCGCGACAGCAGGTGATTCCCGCACTTGGCTCAAACTGCCAGAAGTCGAGCTTCATAGATTTAGCAATCCAATTCGGATACATACATATATATGCATATATACATAGATATAAGCCAAACGGGTCTGGATGAGCACGCAGGCCCGTCTAATGTATGCGAGCCAATCGAGGTTACGAAAACCCGCTTCGGCGATTATCGGCTCAGAAGTTGTCGGAAATCGACTTCCTTTAGCATTAACTAGATTCAATATGAGCTCATGTTTGTGCCTAGGGGCGGCTAGGGAGGCTGTCTTCTGGAATCTTCCATTACACTTAAAAACTACAATCTTCAATTAGAAATCATTGATAGAAATCATTATATTATTATGATAGTAGGCCTAGCAGCCTTTGGCTTGAAAACCTAGAGGAAATCTGATTATTGTCTATTGCCAAAACCTAATAATTATGAAACTCTATGAAAATATTTCGAAAAAATCCCCAATGCTATTTTAAGCGCATCGAACTGAACCTGCTACAGGTGGTTCAAGGCAGTTTTTGGGGCTTTTTTCTGCTTCGCTTCAAATGGCCTGAGTTAGCTAAACAACAGTAAATTCTTATACCCATTGGAAATGGAAAATCAGGGTATAACGGTTATCTTAAAAGAGGGCTTGGCAGCACCTATAAAGTAGATAGATTCTTGATCTAGCTGAATCGATCAATCGATAAAGTCTGTCCATTAGTCTGTGCTTTCTTCGATGTGCTCAGTTGTTTCTCTGTTCTTCTGTCCTTCCATAAGTCTTTACGTCCGTCCATTTTTCCATATTCTAGTTGTTCGTCCAACCGTCCGCCTTTCGTCTATCCGTCTTGCCGTTTGTACGCCCATCCGTCCTTTCATGCGTCTCTGCGTCTATCTATTTTAACGTCTGTCCGTCATCCGTGCTATTCCTATCTATTCCTTCGTTTGTCCGTCCGTCTCTATGTATGCATATTCATCAATCTCAGAGCCTATAAGAACTGGGCTTTTATATTGCATTCCCTATGCTCCCTAGAGTCCCTATCTAACTTCCCACTTTACTGATATCCAGCTAACAGATTTTCCCAATTCAGTTATTCAATCATATTCATATTCCTTGCTTTCCATTTAGTTTAATGGATATTTTATACAACTATTCTGATACAAGCTCTGATCGAACGAGCTGCAGGGTATCTCCTAGTTCGTGCACCGCCTATAAGAGCTCAGCTTACTTGTTTTGGCTCTTCATTTCTTACTCTATCATATCAGCAAAACAACTTTTGTCATTCCCACTAGATTTCGTTGTTGTTGTTGTTGTTGAGCCAGTTTGGTTATTGGTCGATCGATTATAGATTTTGGAAAACAAAGACTCTACATATGGGCTGATCTATAGATAGATGTAGAGAGAGAGAGAGAGAGAGAGAGAGAGAGAGAGATTATATACATATATTCATCTGCATAGAAAGAACTCTACCAACTTTGACTTTGTTCGTTCTTGATGTTTGACGCCAGTCAATCGTATCGCATCTGAGCTACATTTGTATGTATGTATATCTATAGATGTACATATGTACATTTGCATATATATGTATGTTTATTTGCTTCTTCATATGCCTTTTGTACGTCTATCGGAGCATTTGTCTCTCTGTTCTTTTGTGATCAACATTTGATAATAACTTGTTTTGACAAATTTTTCCAAGTTGCAAAATTTGCAAATTTGTTACAGTTATAGCCACAGATGC